GTAGTCACCAAGTAATCTTGCAAAGTTGTAATGTTTGCAGTGTAATAAAAACTTCCTGTTAATTTTGTATTTTGGACACTAACTCATGCATGAATAATCTTGACCTAGTGACGTGTGCAAAATAATAATTATAAATATATCTTTGATATAGTTTGATATATTGACCATAGTTGGCAGAATATAATTTGTTGCAATTTAGTAATAAATTCTAATAGTCCTTTTGAATCTGTGTCAATTCAGAAGCTATTAAGTAACTTGTCTTTTTTTGCAACAGTACATAAGAGCAGTTATGTTTTCAGGAGACCATTGCATCTTCAGTGGCTTTCTCTGTGTGAGGATGCTTTAGGGGCCGCTCTGGAGGGTGTGGTATTACCACACATTGCTTCAAGTGTCAGAGTACAAACTGCTCGTGGAATCAGGAGGGGGAAGAAAGTTGTTGCATGTTTAACTTTTGCATGAGGAGTTTCCCTGAAAACATTGAAATATTGGCTGTTTTAAGTACTGACATTTAAATACTGACTAGATGATGTTCTCATAGGCGTGAGGTGGTGCATTATGTACCTGATGCCTGTGATGTTTCTTTTTGAACAGCTTTTTTTCAGTGTTGGAAAGCCTACAAACATTTTATTAATGTCTTTCCAGACAGGTATAAGAATCTTCCAACAGCTTCCAGAAAACTCCAGTTCCTGGGCCTACAGAAGGAGTTAGTTGATGATTTCAGGATACGATTAACTCAAGTGATGAAGGAAGAGACAAGAGCTTCCTTAGGATTCCGATACTGTGCAATCCTTAATGCTGTTAACTATATAGCAACAGTGCTGGCAGACTGGGCTGACAATGTAGTAAGTAAATATTCTTCTTCAGGAAAAAAATATTTTAAAATGGATTTGGGATGTTTTTACTAAATTCGGATTTAGTAAAAGATGTATAAATAAGGACAGGTTATTGTTTGAGGCCTAAGCTGCCAATTATAAACTTTCTAGGGAAATGAAGAGAGAGCCTGGGAAATGGAATAATCTGAAGTTTCATAACAAACATTTTATTTTCAGCACTTTTTAGGTGTATTCAGGAGAATTAATTACTGAAATAGTAGAATGAGATATAAATTCGGATTTAGTAAAAGATGTATAAATAAGGACAGGTTATTGTTTGAGGCCTAAGCTGCCAATTATAAACTTTCTAGGGAAATGAAGAGAGAGCCTGGGAAATGGAATAATCTGAAGAGACCAAAAAACCTAGTCTCTTTTACATGCTTTTTATTGTAAAAAAAGTGAATTGATTTTGGAAATCTCTGAACCAGAGCAGCAGCCTTTGGTGTTTGAACTCCTCCCATGGCAGGAGAGCTTAGACAGATCCACGTGTGTATCTGTGTTGCAGCACAGTTCAGGTGTGGCCCAGAAGGGCCAGCCCTGATAACTGGGAATTGGTGACTGCTGTACAACAGCCTGGTGGCAGCACAGCCTAGTGAGGAATTTCAGCTTTTCTGCAGCTATTGGTGCTGAAGGTCAAAAAACTTCTTACACATGGTGTGTGCAGAATAAGGCATTGTGTGGGCTGTGGGCAGCCTCCAAATTCTTACTGTCTAGAGCTGTGGCTCTAGCAGGGGATAATCTTGACTTGATAGGGCAGCAGTCTTCATGTTGTATAACTGCATCTACTAGTGTCCTGATCTGCTTAAAAGCAAAACCAACAAGCTGTTACCACAATGTCACATTCATCTCGATAAACTAAATTCATTTTCTTGCTGTTGTCAGCACAGTAAATTTATGATTCAATGAATAATCATTGCTAAAAAAATTACAATTAAAGTTTACTTTTGCAAATCTTAAAGAGGCCAAGGTAGGGTTTTTTAAAAGCATGCTGCTGTCAGTCTTAAAATATCTTTTCAGTATTTCTTTAGATCTGTTCACTTTACCTATCTGCTGTTGTATCTGAAACCTGTATCAGTTCCATCACTAGGATTAAACCTCCATGTTTTGTTTTTCTCTAAATCAGGACCACAGGGAAGGATAAGAAAGTGTTTTTAAAATCTTAACTTTTTAACTTTATAAATGTGCCAGAGGAAGGTGTTTTCTACAACTGTGTCTAACAAAGTACCAATGAAAAGTTCAAGGAGTAAGATTATTTTCTGTGGTGTTTCTCTCTGGTTTTGTTTGCCTAGTTCTTCTTGCAGCTGCAGCAGGCCGAGCTGGAGGTCCGTGCAGAAAGTGACACCATGAGCCAGCTCCAGCTGGGCCAGCTGGCATCCATGGAGAGCTCTGTCTTTGATGACATGATCAACCTCCTGGAGCGCCTCAAGCACGACATGCTGACACGACAAGTAGATCATGTCTTCAGAGAGGTCAAAGATGCTGCAAAGCTGTACAAAAAGGAGAGGTGATTCTGTTTATTTAATCTCTTACCTTATTACAGGATTATTTCCTGTTAAAAATATTGAGGTTAGTAAAGGCAAGAATAGATAATAGGCAGTATTTTTTCTTGGAATAGGAAAGCTACAGGGTAGTGAGTTCTGGAAAATTCCCTTTATTCTTACCTGGGGACAATTGTCATGCTATGTTTTCTAAAGTAGTTCCACAATTAGTAGATATATTAGTTTTAAACCATGTGAAAGGTTGTTGATCATTCTATTTTGAGCAGGAATTATTTTCTTCATAGTAGTATTTAAGATTTTATGCAAAATGGCCTGTCATGACTGTTCTGTCTTCACAGACTCCTAGGCCTTCTTGAATATTTTCTCCTGAGTAGACTTTCTGAAGTACTTAATAAAAGCAATAGAACTCAATGATTTTCAGATTGGATGGGGTTCCCTAGAATGTCATGTTCAGAGATTTATAACTAAAGCATGAGTTTAATATTAAATTAAATTCAAACACAGCATTAGACTGATAACTTTTAGATTAGAACTGGGAAAGGACTGTCTCTGAAACATTGTAAATGGGTAAGATTTTTTTTAGAAGTGTAATTTTACCTTCAGTTGTTATAATATGAATAATTTCATTCGAATGACTGCAGTGCCATGGTTTCTTTTAGGTGGCTGTCTTTACCCTCTCAAGCAGAGCAAGCAGTGATGTCTTTGTCGAGCACGGCGTGCCCCATGCTGCAGACACTGCGAGACCGTTTGCTGCAACTGGAGCAGCAGCTCTGCCACTCACTGTTCAAAATTCTCTGGCAAATGCTTGCAGAGAAAGTGGATCTGTACATCTACCAGGAAGTGGGTATCAGTGTGACCTGTGCAGTGCCATGCAGGTGTCAGTGACTGGCTTAAACAGCAGATGCACTCTCTGTGTTTGTAGATCATTATGGCAAATCACTTCAATGAAGGAGGGGCAGCACAACTCCAGTTCGACATGAGTCGGAATTTGTTCCCCCTGTTTTCACACTACTGCAAGAGGCCAGAAAACTACTTCAAGCAGTAAGTAGGCAAACTTCTGATCTACTGGTATTTCAGAAGTTAGTGTGCAGAGAAATAGAAGTGTTCTACTTAAAACCAAGATTTTTTTCAGTTAGTTTTGATCCACATTTTAACTGTGTGGATCATTTATGCATGTGATGTTTTCAACTAGGAAAGCTGATTCTGCAGCATGTACTCAGACAGCAACAGACTGTGGCATGTGTCTTGGAGTATTTTGTGCAGTCAGGATGTCTAGATAAAATTATGGAAGGAATATTAAGTAGCACCTCTGAAAAAAACCTCTGAAACTGGGGCCAAAGAAACTAGTCAAAGATACAGTTACAACACAGCAAACTTTATTGTTAGAAGGACTACTTTAAACTATTTTCCTCCTCAGGATTGCCTTGTGAGGCATGAGAAGCTGCTACATTGTTTCTGGTTAGTCTATTTCATTAGCCCACAATCTCCTAAATAGTCCAGCATCAAAATCCTCGGCTAATTTGGGCTCAAATTGAATATTTTTAAACCAACATGGAGCATGGAAGGGCTTTTTGTTAAATTTGTGCTGCTTACATTAATCCATGTAACTTTTCCTCTAGCATAAAAGAAGCCTGCATTATCCTGAACCTGAATATTGGCTCTGCCTTGCTTCTGAAGTGGAGCATGGAAGGGCTTTTTGTTACACTTAAATTTGTGCTGCTTACATTAATCCATGTAACTTTTCCTCTAGCATAAAAGAAGCCTGCATTATCCTGAACCTGAATATTGGCTCTGCCTTGCTTCTGAAGGATGTCCTACAGTCAGCTTCAGAAAATGAACCATTAAAGCCAAGCCAGCCATCTGCAACAGCAGCACTAAATGAACTTGGAGTTTATAAACTGGCTCAAAGGGATGTTGAGATTCTCCTCAGTTTGAGAGCTAGTTGGCCAAATACAGGAAAATAAAGACTTCTTCAGAAATGATTAACTTTGTCTAGATTACTCATTCCAAGCAAAAGCTAAGGGAATATCCTGAAATATGCTTATTTCTTTCATTTCTGCATGCTGAGAGATTGTTTTAATCTAATCTTATGCCTTATTCTATACAGTTCAAAGAAAAAATTCAAAATGCTACTGACTTGGTGTTGAACTGTGCAGATCTTATTTTCCATGGCCACCTTGCCATTGCATTTGGAAGCTAAAACTGTTCCTCTCTAATGAATATTCTGCCTTGTCTGCATCATTCTAAGGAACACATAATATTTACAGTGTAAATGCAAATTTTTGTACAATGTGGGCTAATGTTCCCCATGAACTGGTCAGTCTTCAGTTAAACACAGATGTTTTATAGCTCCAAATCCCAGGTAATGGATGTTGTGTATCAAAATGTATATAATCACTGCAGAAGGAAGGAATATGTCACTGTTTTCTTCAGACAAATTAAGATAGTCTTTTACAGAAAAAACAATCGCCTAATTTTTTAAAAAAAGTTTCTCCTTATAAATTGCATATTGTGTGCTAAGTTTGAAAATATCACTTGGAAGTGCTACCTGCATTTACATGTGGACATTTGTCATAACCTGCTGTAGTTTTTTTCCCTTAAAAATACCCAAAAACCAAAACACAGCACAAGCCCAAACCAACTTAATTTTATTCAGTGCTAATGAGCCAACAGGTAACAATCATTTACTGTAAACTATAACCTGAAGGAGAAAACTCCAAAATACTATTTTAGTTGCAAAAGAGATCTCTACTCTTTTTTTTTTTTACCATCTAATTATATTAAGGACAACAATTCTTAACTCTATTCCCTCCAGTGCCTGCTGGACATGAACACGTTCTTATCACTTGTCCTTTTCAGCTGATTGCTCCACTGAAGGGCAGGGAAGATGAGAAAAAGAGAAAAGAGAATATTGCTTAAAATCGACTCTTCACAGCTGACAAACCAGAAGAAAAATTGGGGAAGATGCCTGTTTTTAATATAAATAGCAGACCAGTGCTCAAACTAATACACAGACCAGCTCTCCAGCATCTTTTTCTTTCTAAAACAGAAAAAGAAAATCTCTAGTTAGATAATGAGGATAATTAGTTCCTTACCTTTCAGCAATTGCAACAGTTACTAAAAATTGCTCCTAGAACCATACCTTGACTATGAGGAATTATTTGAACTCTGAACCTGTTTCATCTGCAGCTGTGCTACCACCCCTGACAAAGAAGACAACAGGGTCTCACTGTTCCACATTTCTAGATCAATATTTTAACCCCTGGGCTGCCTGATGACCTTTGCTCTGACCTGAAGAGCAGGTACAGAGAGGATCCTGAAACTGAGGATCCTGAGGTGGTGGAGGGCATGGAGTGTGGTTCACCTTACAGCAAGGCAAGAAGGTCAGGCAGTAACTTTTTTTTTTTAATCTTGCAATGCAAAGTGACACAGTCAAGCTTAAACTAGCAACTAAACTATCCATTAATTATGTAGCTTTGTAAATAAAAAATAAATCTCAGTAAAATATCTCCTAAGCATATGTCCCCCCTCCAAAAAAAAGCAAAAAAAACCAAACAAAAAAACAACACCACAATTTCAATTAAACTCACATTCCTTCCTTGAATACCTCCAGTGTAATCTCCACATCATCTTCTAGCTCCAAATCCTCAGTGCTCAGTCCCAAAGTTTTAAGGGCTAAAGTTAACAAAAGAGAAATTTTTATGTGAGTCTTTGGAAAGACACATGTAAATTTAAAGGTGCCTAGATCTAACAGAAGGTAAACGTGTGTAGAACAACATGTAACTTAAACGTTGGAAACTTAACCACAGGTAACTTTTCTCAAGTTTCCAAGCTGTCGTGTGGGCAGCATAGAGATTTTGAAGCATAGAGATGGGTATGTTTGAAACTATGTTAATAACTGTGTGCGAGCGAGGGAGCGGTTGGGTGCGGCGGGGGCGACAGGCACCTTCCCGGTACTGCGCGGGCCTGATGCAGCCCTGGCCCAGCACGTCCAGCAGGCTGAACATGGCCTCCACGTTGGCCTCGTCCATGAGGCACGGGTACTCGCCCTCGGCTCGCCTCGCAGCCTTGACCCGCTCCAGCACCTGGATCAGGAACTCGCGTGGCCGCTCTGCAACGAGGTCAGAGTGCCCGCGGGCACCGGGCCCTCAGCCGGGGAGCGGAGGCGGCTCGGCCCCGCTGCCCCCGCTGCCGGCGGGGCCGGGCCTGCGCGCACCGGGGCGGTGGAAGAGCAGCATGGCTCCGAGGCGGTGCAGCAGCTCGGGCAGCCGGTGCCGCCGCAGGTACTCGCGGCTCTGCTCCTCGCCCGCCGCCATCCCGCGGCGCCGGGGCGGCGTGAGGGGCGAGCACAGGAGCCCGCAGCGCCTCCGGCCGGGGACGTTCCGCCGGGGCCAGCGGGAAGGGGGAAGGAAAAACTGACTTTCCTGGAAGTCGTCACGTTAGCGCCGGAACAGACACGCCTCGCTCCCCGCTGGGTCCCGGCTCTGCGTCGGTTCGCGGGGACAGCGGATGAGCCGCGGTCCGTGGTGAGGCGTGAGGCGGCGCTGAGGGCCCGCTGGTCCGGACGGTGACGATGGCGCTGCCAGGGCACAGCCATGTCCGCAGGCCGTGCCAGGAGCAGGTGTCAGACTCTGCAGTGGTGCCAGCGACAGCACGGCCAAAAAACAAAACAAAACACAAGAAGTGCCACCTCAGCGTGAGGAAGAACTTCTTTAGGCTGAGGGCGGCAGAGCGCTGGAAAAGGCTGCCAGGGCGGTGGCGGAGTCTCCTCTCTGCAGACACTGCAAACCCGCCCTGCTGCAGGGGCCCTGCCTGGCCGGCACCATCCCCAGGGCTCCCTCCCGACCCGAAGGGTTCTGTGATTCTCTCACCTCCAGCCAGCTCCCCTTCCACCGGCGGTACCAGCTGCTTCACCTGCCGCCGTCCCCGGACACAGCCCTGGTTCATCCCCGCCCCGGGAGGGGCTGCCGGGATGTTCCCGGTGTTCTGCACCCGTACGAGAGGCAAAACCAGTGGCCAGCAACTGAGAGTAAGAGTTCGCATTTTAAAACCATTATTGAGTCTTGTAACATAGCCTGTGCAAACAGAGAAGAAACATCAAAGGAACTTTTGACTGTGCTACCCACTGCTAATAGGAGAACCATTATCAAATAAAGCATCCCACTAAAAAAAAAAATTAGGGAAATTACAAAGATGTAACTATCTGCCATCAAATAAAATCAGACAATGATAAATGAGCATATAGTAAATAAGAATAGTATTCCCGTGAAAAGTCTAGAGCTAAATATATTTAACTATTTGCCAAAACTAAAGTATCACAAGACATTAATAGAATTCACTTAGTTATTTCTTAGATAAAGTGGGAGAAAGGCAGCATCCAAAGCTGCAAAGATGGTACAGCCATGTGCTGTCTGTATTCTCTGTTACTTTAAAGTGCCTGTGCTACCTGCTTTTAGTCTCAATTAGGGCTAGAGGAACTGTAGGTTTCTAACAGTTGTCTCTTATGACATTTGCCAGGCAGTGATGGAAACCTCCTTTTCCTGAGCAAAGCATTCCACAGTTACTCAATCCATTCCTGCATTTGTCTTTCTATGCTTTTCTGTGGAGTTTGCAAAGCATTAGCAAAATTTTTTCCTAAGAAAGAGCCATAGCAGAAAGTGTGGATTGAAATGTGGAGAAGTTCAAACAGGAGAAGAGCTTGTCAGCAGAGGAGAAATAAAAATGTGGAAAATACATTCTTGAAAATGAGAACCTGAGGATAGGAAGACTGACAGGAAAAGAAGGAGCAAGTGAAATACTGGTAGGTAGGTAGGTCAGAGTTTGGGTCAGGGAAACCAGCATTTGGCAAAGGATGTTTCTCCTTTAGTAGTCAACAAAGATAACCAGTATGAAATAACATGTTAAGGCTAACATTTTAAGAATAAGTACAGGAATTATGTATTTAAGTATGTCTTCCTGAGGAATGGTTAAAAAAATTAAAATCACTAAACAGAGCAAATCCAAATTTGATTTACAAAATAGAAATGTATTTTGTAAAATTCTATTTCACTATCAGGGAAGCACAATTTATTTATTTGAAAAAATATTCTGATTATGAATATGTATTTATTATTTACATAATAAATTATTATCCTCAGTTCATATAATGATAGTACCAGCTATACATATGGATCCTAAAAGTATGATATTTCAGGATAATTTGGAAGGAGCTCCCATGGGCTATTGTAAGGCAAACTTATAATACTTCTGGTGGCTGAGAAAAACAGGATTTGACAAATACCTGAAAGTATTCTGGTTCCATTATAGAGATGCTGGTAAATAAGTTTTAATAAAGAACCAAAGGACCAAATTATTTTTATCTGTTTAAAGTGTCCTGGTTATAAAAATTAGATTTTTTAAAAGGCTTAATACCTGTTGTGGTAGAAGCTGAGCCTTCTACAGAATATCATTAGTGATTTAAGCCTTTTATCTAATTTAATAGGGCTAAATAGACTACAATGAGCCTTTAAGAGTTGTAATGAAGAGAAACAGGGACTGCAGGTCAGATATGCAGCTGGTTCCAGAACAACCATTTGTCTTGCATGGAAAGCAGGCAGATGGACACGTTCTGTCAAGTGGGACTGTCAGAAGACTGAAGTCTTGGGCTGTGAGAAAGACAGGAGCAATACAGGCTGGGAAGGATCCCTAGATGTGCCACAGGCTTCCTGTGCACACGGCTGCTGAGAGCAGCTCCTTGAAGGCTTTCCTCACCTGTGCTGCTCCTCAGAATGAGCACTGGGAAGCGCCCTGCCAGGGAAATGCAGCTGGTTCCAGAGCAACCATTTGTCTGGCAGGGAAAGCAGGAGATGGACACGTTCTGTCAAGTGGGACTGTCAGAAGACTGAAGTCTTGGGCTGTGAGAAAGACAGGAGCAATACAGGCTGGGAAGGATCCCTAGATGTGCCACAGGCTTCCTGCGCACACGGCTGCTGAGAGCAGCTCCTTGAAGGCTTTCCTCACCTGTGCTGCTCCTCAGCATGAGCACTGGGCAGCGCCCTGCCAGGGAGCAGAGGCTGAGCTGTAGGCATTGGTGCTGCCATTGCTGTGGCTGCTTTGGAAGAGCTCCACTGCAGCTTCCCTCTGTGTGTCCCCAAGGACTTCCAAGGTGCAGCTGAGTTCCTCATCAGGGGATTCTGTACTATACATTTACAGAGGAAAGTGATCAACTACAGAAGTACTGAGCTTCTGAGTATTAATTATCCCAACAGCCAGAACCACTTGTTTTTATTTTATTTACTGTACAGAACAGCAGAAAAATTAAATTGAAATTGTCCTCTAGAGATCATGTGGTCAACTCCCTTTCCTCTTCAGACAGGGCTAATTTCAAGGACTGGCTCAGGTTGTTCACAGACTTGTCAAGTTTTTACTGTCTCCAGAATGGAGACTCCACAACATCAATTGTCCTGTGTTCCACAGGAATGGTACCAGCCTGTATCCTTGAATCAAGCCCAGCTTTTCCCATAGGCTTCTAGAGATGCAGGATAAGCAGTCCTTCACTCAGACATCCTGAGGATGGCACCTCACTGCCCTAACTATGCCCAAAGCTCTGAGCACAGACCTCTCCAGTTAAAAACTGAAGCAAAGGCAGCAATGAGTGTGAGTGTGCCTCTGTCACCTCCCTGTCCTCTGTCACTGGGTTACCTACCACATCTACTGGGGCCCAGAGTACATTTAACTTACTTTTCCTTCCATGTTAATGTACTGGAAGTGTCCTTCCCTTCCTAATTCCAGCTCCAGCTGAGCTTTGGCTTTCCTGTTTCTGTTTCAGCATGCCTGGGCAGTGGTTATTCCTCTAGGGTAGTCCACCCCTGCTTTCACAGTCTGTGTGCTTGTCTTTTGCCTCTGACTTAGTCGGGAGCTCTCTGTTCAGCCATGCTGGCCTTCTCCCATGTCTGCTCAGCTTCCTGCAGAGCAGAATGGACTGTTCCTGAGCTTCAGCTAGCACTCCTGGGCCCTTCAGGTCAGTCTCCTGTGGGATTCTGCCAACAAAATGTCTGCAGGAGACAGTCTGCTCTCCTAAATTCCAGGATTGCAGTTCAAGTATTTCTCTTCCTCACTTCCCTCAGAATCCTAAGCTTTGCTACATTGCAGTCACTGCTGCCAGGCTGCCACCAGTGTCAGTGCTCCCAGCAGCCCCTCCTTATGTGTGAGCAGCATGTCTAGCATAGCCCCACTCAGCTTGTGGAGCCCTTCTGCTGTCCTTGATGTACTGCAGAAGTAGCTGAATCACCACTTGTGCCATCCCAGTCCTCTCCACAAGAACAAGAGCCCACAGCCATCAGTCTAAGCTGTGAATGTTGGCTTTTTTTTTTTCCCTTTCCCCAGTCAGTTGTAAAATAAAGGTGAAACCTGTCATCAAAAATCATGTACTGGGAAAATAAACTAGGAATTACAAAAATACTTCTAGTTTCTGAGTCAAGGAGAAGAATAAGTCACAATATGCCTAGATTGATATCAGAAGACTTTACTGTAACAGAACTGTCCACTTCTCAGTTGGCTGAAAAGCCACAAAACTGATTTCCTGGAACCATGGTTGGACTCCTGCTGAAGGCAAAGGGCAAAAAAGAAGTTACTTGAGCAGGAGCCTGCATTCTTTGAGATACACAGTATATTTTCCTGTATAAGTATGGCTCTGAGCCCATAGCTCTTCAAAGCAGAGAAGCTTTTATTCCAGCAGTATCTGTAGAATGAGTTCATACTGCACAGGGTGGGAGAGATCAGAGGTCCATCTCCATTTCCATCTCCATCACCTCAGTGTCTCTGACACTCCATAGTTCAAATAGACATTCTGAGCAACAAAAAGGTGGGCATGCAGTTAGCAGCCAGAAGTATGGATTGTGCATCTCCAGAGGTTTGTGTTTCTGAAGAGTAACCCCTGTCTTTTCCTGTACTTGATTACAAATCCACACATCCACTCTACCTGTAGTCATGTCAGTCAGTGCTTTGTAAAAGCAGAGCTACCAGGAAGAGCACTTGTTGGTGTTACAAATCCTAAAGAAAAGTAATGGGGAAGGAGTAGGTCAAGGCAAGATTACAAAAACAGCAAAAAACCCAAATGCCCAAGAAACCACACCACAAAATCCCCCTACTGACTATGGATCAAAATAAGAGAAAACTAAAGAAAAAGGATGGCAAATAATTGCAATTTAAGAGCAGAGCTGACCAGAGGGGAAGGTTTCTTGTGTAGGCTGTTTAGAACAGCTTAGAACTGAGGCAAGATATATATATCTATATCTATCTATCTATCTATCTATCTATCTATCTATCTATCTTTGGCTATATATACATGTGTATATATATATATATATATTCTGCAGCTGTGGTGGAAAAGGCAAGGAGGTTGAGCCTGTGTAGTAATTCCCAGTAGTGACCTGT